CTCCCCCCTAAATACCTCCATATACCGCTCATTCTATATACCGCTCCCCCCTAAATACCTCCCTATACCGCTCATTCTATATACCGCTTGTAACGGGACTGCAATATTAAGTCCCCAGATCTCCGCTGGTATAGACGGTAATATCCCAAATCCCCCCAGTAACCAGACGAAACACCGTTCAGGGAGTCAACTGAACTTTATTCACGGCTCCAGGAATTAACTGCCAACTGTCAACTTTTTAAAAATGTTCTGCAATGCATTACACACACATACCCTTGGTTCTTAAAGTGGTACATGCATATTGAACCGAACGGATACAAGCATTTAAACAGCAGGGAGAAGGTTTAACTCAGGGCCCACAGGCAAATACATGAAAAATCCTTCACAATGGCCCCCCTTTTTCTCCCTGCTCCGGCAACTCGGTTGGACCTTTCCTGGTCCAATAGGGTTGACGGGACTTTCCAAAGTTTTTAATCTGAGGCCAAGTCCGTTTGGCGCGACAGTCCATCAGCATTCTCGTTTTGCGTGCCTGGGCGATAATGAATAGTAAAGTCATAGGGCTGTAACGCCAGGCTCCAGCGCAGCAAACGGGCGTTATCCCCTGAGACCCGGTTGAGCCAAACTAGGGGATTGTGATCCGTAATGAGGGTGAAGGCCCGGCCATAGAGATAGGGTGTGAGCTTTTTGAGTGCCCATACCAAGGCCAAACACTCCTTCTCAATGGTGGCATAACTGACCTCCCTTGGCAACAACTTCCGACTCAGGTATGCCACCGGGTGCTCTCCCCAATCCTCTCCGATCTGGCTTAGTACTGCCCCCAGTCCAAACATTGAAGCGTCTGTGTGGACAATAAACCTTTTGTTAGGATCTGGGGTAACCAACACTGGAGCATTAACGAGAGCATTCTTTAGTGCTTGGAAAGCCACCTCGCATTCCGGGGACCACAGGACTTGTCGGGGTAACTTATTTTTGGTCAGGTCGGTCAGGGGTTTGGCTAGGGCGCTATAGTCGGGTACAAAGCGTCTGTAATAGCCGGCTGTGCCCAAGAAAGCCATGACTTGTGTCTTGGTTTGGGGAGTGGGCCAATTGGCAACGGCCTCGATCTTAGCCGGCTCCGGCCGTTGCTTACCACATCCTACTCGGTGTCCCAAATATTGTACCTCCGCCATACCCAAATGACATTTGTCTGGTTTCAGGGTCAGCCCGGCCCCCTTTATCCTATCTAATACTACCCCTACGTGTTCTAGGTGCGCTTCCCAGGTATCGCTATAGATGGCGATGTCATCCAGGTAGGCGCATGCGTAGTCCTGAGACCTCCCAGTAATTGGTCCACCATCCGTTGGAAGGTGGCCGGGGCGTTCTTCATCCCGAATGGCATAACCGGAATTGGTATAGGCCGAACGGGGTGATGAAGGCAGACTTGGGTATGGCATCTTCTGCTAGGGGAATCTGCCAATATCCCTTACATAGGTCAATTGTGGTCAGATACTTCCCTGCAGAGGTACGGTCAAGCAGTTCGTCCATCCGTGGCATTGGATAGGCGTCAGAAACTGTTTTGTCGTTGAGTCGTCGGTAATCCACACAGAAGCGGGTTGTCCCGTCCTTCTTTGGTACTAGGACTACCGGCGAGGCCCAAGGACTTTCTGAGTGTTCTATTACCCCTAGCCGAAGCATCTCATCGATTTCCTTCCGCATCCCTTCTCGGACTGCTTCCGGAATACGGTAAGGGGGCTGCCTCAGGGGTGCTTGCCCTGGAGTTTCCACCTTGTGGACGGCTAGGAGTGTGTACCCAGGCTCCTGAGAGAATGTGGCCTGTTTGGTTTCTAGCAAGCGGACAGCTTGAGCCCTCTCTTGTGGTCCCAGTTGTTCGCCTAGCTGGACTTTCTCTATCTGGGTCCTCCCTTCGTTGCTGCCCAATAGGTCGGGAAGAGGTAGTGTCTCTGTGTCTTCCCCTGCTGGTGCACAGATAGCGGTCACTTCCTCTGCCCGTTCCTGATAGGCCTTAAGCATGTTGATGTGAAAGGTTTGCTTCACATCCTCATCCTCGCAGCTAGCTATGGTGTAGGTGGTGTCGCATATCTGCCCTATAACTTTGTAGGGGCCCTGCCAGGCGGCCTGGAGCTTGTCTGTTCGGACCGGTCTTAGCACCATGACTTTTTGGCCGATCTGAAAGCTCCGGTGCCTACACACACATACCCTTGGTTCTTAAAGTGGTACATGCATATTGAACCGAACGGATACAAGCATTTAAACAGCAGGGAGAAGGTTTAACTCAGGGCCCACAGGCAAATACATGAAAAATCCTTAACAATGGCCCCCCTTTTTCTCCCTGCTCCGGCAACTCGGTTGGACCATACCCTCTGACGCTGTTGGGCCGCCTGGAGGTTTCCCTGCACCGCCTGGGCTAGTTCCTCCATGCGGTCCCGCAGTTCCAGCACATAAGGTACAACCGGGGTCCCCTCAATCTCCGTCTGCCCCTCCTAGTGGTCCTTGATAAGATCTAAAGGCCCCCTCACCCGCCTCCCATATAGGAGTTCGAAGGGTGAGAATCCGGTTGATTCCTGCGGCACCTCTCGGTAGGCAAAGCGAAGGTGTGGCAGGAACCGCTCCCAATCCTTGTACGCCCCCGTGAACGACTTCAACATTTGCTTTAGCGTCCCGTTGAAGCGTTCACACAGGCCATTAGTCTGGGGGTGGTATGAGGAACTAGTCAGGGATTTAACTCCACAGACTTTCCATATCTGCTGGGTTACCTCGGCCGTGAACTGTGTACCTTGGTCGGACAGTACCTCCTTGGGAAAGCCCACTCGGGAGAATATCCGGACTAGTGCATCTGCCACCGTCTCAGCCTGTATGTTAGAAAGGGCCACCGCTTCAGGGTAACGGGTGGCGTAATCTACCACTGTGAGGATATAACGTTTGCCGGAGCGGCTAGGTTGGGCCAAGGGTCCTATGATATCCACGGCCACCCTCGTGAACGGTTCTTCAATTATGGGCATGGAGACCAGTTTAGCCTTTGGGTGGTCTCCCTTCTTACCTATGCGTTGACATATCTCGCACGTCTGGCAATACGCCCGGACGTCATCGGATACCCCAGGCCAGAAAAAGTTCTGGGTTACCCGATATCCCGTCCTGCGTATTCCCAAGTGTCCTGCCAGAGGAACGTCGTGCCCAATTCTCAATAACTCCCGCCGGTATTTCCGTGGAACTACCAGCTGGCGTTTTTGCCTAGGCCCAGGTGCGTTAACCCGTGTCTCGGTGAGCCTGTACAAGCGGCCTTTTTCCCAGATAAACTGTTCCTTCTCTAACCCCCCCGTTCCTCGCCTGGCCTTCTCTCGATACTTTCTGAGGGAAGGGTCTCCGGTCACCTCCCGCCCAAAGTCTTCTGGGGTGTCCCAGGGAAGGGGTTCTATAGTCAGGGGTAGGTCGGGTTGGCTTACCTGGGTCTCAGTAGGAAGCGGATGGCTCTCGGCAGCGCGACCTTGTGCTCTGGTGGTTACTGCGTGGGCCTCCTGAGCGGTGGTTGAGGCGAACGCCGAAGTCAGGGGCCCAATGTCATTGCCCAACACGACTTCAGAGGGTAAGTCTTTCATTACGCCCACTTGAACATTGCCAGCTCCCGCACCCCAGTCCAGGTGTACTTGTGCGGTAGGAATGCGATACACTGCCCCCCTGCCACTCTCACAGCAATTGATTTCCCCGGCTTCTCCGATGCGTTAATGAGATGTCGTTGTACTAGCGTGATGGTTGCACCACTGTCTCTTAATCCCCGTGCTGTCTTGCCGTTAACCATGACCAGTTGGCAATGGTGTTTCCGATTGTCTGTGACGGTGGATTGCACCATGAGGGCTTCGTAAAGGGTGCCCAATGGTTCTTCCTGACCCAGCTCCTTGGGATCCCAAGTCGAATCTACACAATGGGCTGCTGCTGGTGGTTGCTGGTACCCAGGTCGAGACCAATTTGACCTGGTGTGGTTGTTCATGGGGCAATTCTGTCGGATGTGACCCAGCTGTCGGCACCGGAAGCAACGTAGCTCGCTGACATCCTGTCGTGGGTAGCGAGAGTTAGAAGTCACCGGTCGGTTAGGGGGTTGGTATCGGGCTGCTGGTGGGTGTGATGGCACTGAAGGTTTTGGAGGTTGTACCCGTGGTGCAACTTGGTTAATTTTGCGAGTATCCGCATACTCATCTGCCAACTTGGCGGCCTCTGGTAGAGAGAGGGGCCTGCGGTCTCTCACCCAGTATTTGACATCCGCCTGGATATGGTTGTAAAACTGTTCCAGGAGTATCAGTTGCAAAATCTCCTCCGCGGTCGAGGCCGACAGGGATAACTGGCATGCCCATTCCACGTAGCAATCTTTAACGGTTTTGCGTGAGTCCCTGAACTTCTGTCGGTAGGACTCTGGGGTTACTGCATAACGGGCCAGGAGTGCTTCTTTAACCCTGGCGTAGCTGTGGATCTCCTGTTCTGGTACAGCCCGGAAAGCATCAGAGGCTTTGCCTGACAGCTTTCCTGACAATATTGAAACCCATTCTTCCTTAGCTATCCGGTGCAGGTTACATTGCCGCTCAAAATCTGCTAAATAGTTATCAATCTCACAGTCTTTTTCGTCAAAAGCTTTAAAAGCGCTGAACGGAATTTTCCTTGTATCCGCTGTGTTGTACTCACTGTTTGGGAAGTGTGCTGCTGCCTGCTGAACCGCTGCCAGTTTTAATTGTAGCTCTGCGTCTCTTTTTTGTTTAGCCTCCTCCGCTAAAAGGCTCATTACTTTCAGAATAATGTCAGCCGTTGGGTTTGGACCGAACCATGCTAGCTTCTCCCTCATTTCTTTGTTGGCTGGTGATTCCTCCTCCTGAATCACTGGTGTCTCCATCTCTTGTACTGCTGGCATTGCTGCAACCAAGTTCTCTCGGTCTAGCTCCATTAACTCTGCTATAATGACCTGCTTGGTTTTGTTGCTAGCAATCCTTCCACAAGCTTCCAGTAGCTCTTTCCGTGTATTTCTTTTAAGCAGGGTGTACCAGCCTTCCATTCACTGTTCCCAGTGTCTGCTTGGAATCCTGGTGTAACGGAAGTAGAAGGGAAAATCCCGCCGCTGCCAACCAGTTGTAACGGGACTGCAATATTAAGTCCCCAGATCTCCGCTGGTATAGAAGGTAATATCCCAAATCCCCCCAGTAACCAGACGAAACACCGTTCAGGGAGTCAACTGAACTTTATTCACGGCTCCAGGAATTAACTGCCAACTGTCAACTTTTTAAAAATGTTCTGCAATGCATTACACACACATACCCTTGGTTCTTAAAGTGGTACATACATATTGAACCGAACGGATACAGGCATTTAAACAGCAGGGAGAAGGTTTAACTCAGGGCCCACAGGCAAATACATGAAAAATCCTTCACAACATGTATGTGAGCAGGTTGCTGATCCAAGGAGAAATCTGTCATTATGGAGTCTAGA